CCCCTGGCAGAACTCCTGTCTTCACTGCCGAGATCTAGCCCTCCCACCTCGGAGGCGGGAATGTCATCCCGATTGTAGGATGAGGAAGAGAGGCCTCAAAATTGAGATCTCCTTGGTCGCCACACCTGTCCACAACCCAGCTTCCTGGGCTGCAACATCACACCCACATCTGCATGGTCATCGGCCACAACAGGGGTGTGGTTGCCATGACAATTCCAAGGCTCCAGAAGTCTGGTGTGAGCAGCTTGTCTGCGCGTGTCTGTGTGTGTGCGCATGTGTCTGTGCACGAGGATCTGCACACAAGGACAGGGGCTTCAAAAGTCCGTGGGGAAATTATCTTGTTTTCACACACTTTGTCAATGTGCCTGCCTGTGTGGGTGTGTGCCCATCTCTGTGTGTTTCTGTGTCCATGTGTCTGTGTGAAGACATCAGTCAGTGCACAGTGTCAGGGGCAGAAGAGTGCCAATGGGGAGGGGGCCGGGGGCAGGAGCGGGGGTGGGGGTGGAGGGAGCTCATGTTCTCAGGCCCTTGGGCAGTGTCTGCAGGGTGGGGCTCCCCCTGACCTAGGGCTCTGACTTCTTCTCCAGGACCCAGAAAGGCTCCACAGATGGGTACAAATGCTCACTCACTGCCTTGAAGCTTCGCCCCCGCCGCCCCCCCCAAGACCTCATGTCGCTGCCTAGCCCCCACCCACACTGTGGCACCCACACGGCCGTCTGTACTGGGGGAAGGTCCTTCTTGCAGCAGAGGTGGTGTCTACAGGGGCCACACCAGGAACCATTCCGACCTCCACCAAAGCCCCTTTCTCTAGGGCGGGGCAGAGGTCATGCCTCAACCTGCAGGGGGACCCCAAAGGGGACAGATCTCCAGGTCCCCAACCACACCCTTTCAACACCCATCTCTCCCCTCTAGGTAGCAGCCACCTGGAGGGGCTGGGAGGAGCCAGACCCTCCAGGGCTCAGGGGAAGCTTGGGGTGCAGTAGGGAGGGGTATCTGTACCTAAGAGGTTGTGGGGCCTTTGATCTGGGCTGTGCCCCCAGGACTCCAACCAGGAACTCTGCTCTGAAAGGCCTCTGAGCCACCCAGTCTCGGCCATGCCAGGTGCACGAGGACACCAGCATTGCTCTGGATGGGATGCCAGGCTCTTGAGGGTGAGGCTGCCCCCCCACACTCACTACCAGCCCGGCCCTGCCCGCACACCCCGGCCCCTCCCACAGGCCCCTGCCTCTGTGTCCACAAAAACCCCAACACAGACTTCAAACCCAAACAGAGGAGTTCAGCTGAGGGACTCAGCCCCACTTCCCCCAGGGTCTGGGGCCTCCCAAGCCCGCAAGCAGGCTGACCTGCTCAACCTCAGACCCTCTTGCCCACTGCATACGGCAGGCACTTACGGGGTTGCTCCTGGGTGCCCGGACTCAGACCCCTGAGAGGCTGAGGGTGGTCAGGATATGGGTGGCAGCAGCCGCTGGACTGTGAGGGAGCCACCCGCCCCAGCACATGGCACGCCCACAGGTACCCCCACCCACTGATGCCGGCTGGTTTCCCGGCCAGGAGAGTCAGGCGTTCCAGTGCACAATCACTGCCCTAAGGGAACCATGGGGAGGGGGCCACGGGGCAGTGGCTCCTCCAGATGTGTGGATACACACACACATGCTCCCAAACACACATGCACTGCACACATGTGCACACATGTACATGAGCAGGCACAAGATCCTCCAAGTCACAGGTGAGCGGCCTCCCTGGAGGCCCAGTCATGCTCTCTTGCTGCCCACGCCTACACACCACCCACATGACCACCACACATCCCTACACACGTCCCCACACAACCCCCCATGACTCCCCATGACCCACACACACACTCCAACCACACACGGGGTCGAGGGCAGGTGGGCATTGACACGCCCTGCAGCAGCCCAGGGCCCTCGGGCCCCTCTTACCTCCCCAGACACAGTCTCCCCCCCCACTCCCTCAGGAGCATCAGTGCTGCTCCGCTGAGGCAGGCAGGGAGTGCAGCTATCCAGTCTCAGTGGGCAGCCTCTGTGGGAACAGGTGCTGGGTAAGTGGCAGGGTCATCTGTGGGCTGGGCTGGCCTGGGCCCTCAGAGGACACCTTCGGACTCTGGGGCTGAGGCTGTCTGTACCCACACAGGCCAACAGTCTGGGCAGTCAGTGACAGCAGTTCTACTGGGGGGCACAGCCAAGTGGATGGCAGTCACCATGATGCCACTGAGGTGGTACATGGGGCAGATTCGGGGCCTCAAGGTGGTGGTCAGCTGCTGCCCCAGGGGGCTTTGGGAGGGGACAGGCCAGCTGGAAGCATTGCCCCAAGGTTGGGGGCTGCACATGGTCCCGGGGTGCAGATGTGGGTGGGCACAGAGAATAGCTATTTCTTCCTCAGGATGGAGGTCCCCCAGGTACTCCTCTCCAGGCCCCTCCCCTCACTGCCCAGGATAGGGACCAACCAGGCAGGAAGCTAAGGACCCAGACCTGGGACTGGGGGCCCAGACCACAGCGACTTGCCCCTCCTTCCCACATCCTTGGGACAACACCACTGTCTGGGACACCTCCCCTGTGACACCTCCCCCAGGACAACACCTCTCTTGGGAAAACACCTGCCCTGTGACATACCTCCCCTGGGACAACACCTCCCCTGGGTCAACAACAACACCTGGGACACCTCCCCAGGACAACACCTCCCCTGTGGTAACACCTCTTTCGGGACAACACCTCCCCTGGGCCCAGGCAGGCGGTGTGCACTGCAGGGGGCAAACGCTGCCAAGAACACCAGCCGCTAGAAGGGACCCAGTGACCCACCTCAGCCGGCCCTTCTGTCCTCTGGCTGCCCAGGCAGAACCTGGCCCCAGCCCTTCATGCGTTCAGGAGCTCCTGCTCTGCCCACACCTCTATCTGGGAGTCACGAGATCTTTCCAACCCCACAGTGGCATCAGGCTAGCGCCACCAGACCCAGGCTGGCACCCACAGACCATTCCCACATCTGAGGGGAGGGGGATGCACAGGTTCCAGCAAGCCCCCAGAACCCAGGGCTGTGGGCCAGCCAAGAGGGGCACAGGGATGCGCTTGGTCTGCCTGGGGCCACGGGGCAGTGCCTGCCCAGGAACTCTGGCTGTCCCCACCAAGGACTTCCTGCCAGGGGCCACACTGAGCAGGCTGTGCCCTAGCACCTGGGCAAGAAGTCAGGCCTCCCTTCCAGTCCACTGCCCCTTCACACTCCCCCAGCTCATGCCCAGCAGGGCCACCCTTGGCAGGGCCATCTCTGGGCCCACAGCATTCCGGTGGTCAAAGTCCAAAGCCTCAGGGAACTCACCATCTCCAGACACTCGACACCCCCAACAGCTCTGGGCCCAACAGCCAGCCCCTGACCTTCCCCGGGTCCCGTAGACCCTGGGGTTCCTTCTGACCAGTGAGGAAGCTGGGTGGCTCAGCAAAGGTGGACCCAGGTGAGAGGGGAGGCGATGACAGCTGCAGGAGCTGAAGTGGGGATAGAAGTGAGATAGAGAAGGGCATGGGAGGGGGTGCTGGAGGAGAAGAAGCAGGCAGAGGTCGGATTGAGGGGAGAGGAGGGCAGAGGGGTCACAGGTGGAGGGAGGTGGGCTATGACAGTTACATAATCTCCTGTCAACTTGCAAAGGGGTGGAGTCTAGCCTGTCAATCAGGTTGCAGCTTGATGACTTCATTTGGCGGCCCTATGGAGATAAAGAGCTCCCCGGAGGCCAGACACACACTCTTTGTGAGACATTTCTGTTGACAAGCCACAGGAGCCATAGCCCTGGAGCTCAAGGAGCCACATGGAGACCCACGCCAGAGCTGAGATGCTTCTACCACCACTGGATCCACAAGACTTTCCACCCACTGACCTGTGATCTTCCTGCATTCAGCATCATTGCATGGGCTGCGTGAGTCTAAAGAGGAATTTATGAACTAGTATCTACATATGGGGTAATATCAGACTTATGGACTTGATCTGAACTGGGCTGGCATGTTTTCTTAATGTACAATTGCTCTTTGATATCAAGTTCTCTCTTACACACATATGAGTGTCTTCTGAATTTGTTTCTCTAGTCAACCCAGACTGACACACATGGGGAGAGAATTCAGGGAGGAGCAGGCAGAGGTGAGGCTGGGGGGAAGAGGCCAGCAGGGGACCCTCGTGGGCAGAGGTTGGGAGATGCAGAGCCAGCTGTGCCCTCCTCCAGGGAGTCCCTGGCACTCCACAGGATGTGCCTGTCCCTGGGCACAGGGCACCAGGGGAGCAGCAGGCAGGGTTGGAGACCAGGCTCCTTAGCACCCCCCTCCCTCACTACCCCAATCTGCATGCCGGGCTGCTCCCTTAGACCTTCCTTCTATCCTGTCCTGGGGGTCACTATGAGGTCTGGGAGCTGCTCATCGGCTCTGAGGGACAGGCTCCCACCACCACCACCACCCCCGCCCCCCGCCCAGTACCAAGTATTGTAGAAGCAGGTTTGCCATCTTCACATTGGTCATTTATCCAGTGGCCACGGACACAGTCCTTCAACCCTGCACCCCACCATGCCTCCCTCTGGCTCAGGGGCCCACAGTGGCCAGGATGCTGGCCAGCATTCCACCAACACCCACCTCAGACCCATACAGGGGGCAGGGGGCATTAAGGTGGGTGGTAACTCTTTAGAGGAGTAGAAAACCTCCTCTTTCCAGAGTCCACCTTGTCCTACAGGGGCGCCGTGAGTTGGCATCAACTCGATGGCAGTGAGTTTGGTGTTTGGGCTTCAGGTGGACCTTTGAATAAATAGACCCTGGACTGGGAGGAGGACATGCACCCAGGATGTGCTGAACAAGAGGAACAGCAGCTGCTAGGACCCCACAAACTCGGGGACCCTAGTCAGGGCCCTTCCAGCCCTGCACAACCTGGGAGGCGGAGTGGGACAAGAGGAGCACATTGGAGCCCCCAGCTGCCTCCCACCCCGCACCAGCCCCAAACATCCGGCCAGGCCGGCCATGGGAAGTCATGAGCAGGTGTTTATTAAGGCCCTCCCTGCCCTGGAGACAGGCTTGGGGCGTTGAGAAGCACAGGTGATGCTAGGGCATGCATACATACATAAGGTGCATGGTAACTCGGAAGAAATTCACAACTTGGTCCCTGCCCCGCCAGGCATGGAGGCAGGGCAGTGCCAGTGTCCTGTGCTGTGCAAGGGCCCCAGGCCACCTGGCAGGGGTCTGCGGCTCAGCCCCAGGTGCTGGTGGGGGTGGCTTTTCAGCATGCAGCTGTCTGCCAAGTTCATGTGCAGGGAGGCAGTGGGTCACTGTCCCTGCCCCCTCCATCTCTGGCTGCTGGTCAGGGACGAGACATTCTCTGGATGTCCCTCAGTCCCTCTCCTCCGTATCCAGGCCCTGAGGAGTGGACTCACACCGTGCAGATTAGGGGCGCTCAGGTGGGGCCCCAGAGATGGCCTGAGGCAGTCAGACTGCTGGGGCAGCACAGGCCAGTGGGAGCCCACCTCTATCCAAGGCCACCGAGGCCCAGACAGAGCAGGAGGCCTTCAGCTGCAAGAGGGAAGGGGAGGGAAGCAGGTGCTGCAGGAGGTGGCGGTGTCAAGCCCAACTGGGCAGGTTCCAAAGTCAACGGCAGCCACAGGGCTGGGGCACTGGGCAGACCTGCGGACGCACAGGAGGAGAGGCGGGTCCTGGAGGCATGTTGGAGAGACCGGAAACAGACAGGGTCCTTGGCAGGGGGTTCAAGCCAACAACATGAGGACCTCGGCAGCTCACTGCCCTGTCACCACGTCCCACCCTCCGGCTTTCCAGTAGACCCGAGAGCCACGCATCAGGGCCGAGGGGAGGCGCCACGGGCAGCCTAGAGCGCAGTGACCTGCGTGAGCTCCGTGTTGGGCGTGGACGGGCTCTGCGGGCTGACGGGCGCCAGGGGCAGGTCCACGCCTAGTCATGCGGGCCGCGGTACCGTCTCTGTGGTCTGGCGAGCCAGGCCGGCGTCCTTGGCGACGCTGCGCACGCGGTCAGACACCTGGGTGTCCCGGCGCAGGGCGGAGGCGCAGCAGAACTTGCGGAAGCAGGCCTTGAAGTTCTCGTCCAGGAAGGCGTAGAGAATCGGGTTGAGGCAGCTGTTGACGTAGCCAAGGGCAGTGCAGAAGCGCAGCAAGGCCACGGTGGCCTCGCTGCTCGGCTGCACGCCCAGCCCCTGCACCAGCACGAAGACCTGCACCGGCGTCCAGCAGCCCACGAACACGGCCACGACCACCAGCACCAGCCGCGTGATGCGCCGCAGGTTCCGGTCCTTCTCACGAGAGCCAGAGAGCAGGCGGACGCCGCGCAGTCGCCGGATCATGAGCGAGTAGCAGACGGAGATGATGAGGACAGGGATGACGAAGGAGAAGAGGAAGACGCAGGTGGCAAACACCGGCCCCCAGTAGTCCTGCGGGGCAGGGATCTCCACGAGGCACTCGATCTCTGTGGGCAAAGGAAGTCAGACGCTCGCGGACAGGGGACGGGACAGGGGCACGGGATGGCAGGCAGGGCTGAGGGCCGTGGGCGGGAAGCCCAAGGCTGCCATAGGGCGTGGGACACGCACTGACCTTCGTCCTCAACCTGTGCAGAGCCCATGATGGCGACTGGGATGCCGATGACGGAGGCCAGTGCCCAGATGGCCACATTGACGGCCTGTGCTTTGCTGGATGTCCGGACGTCGAGGGCACGGATAGGGTGGCAGATGGCCACGTAGCGGTCCACGCTCATGGCGGTGAGCGTGAAGGTGCTGGTGAACATGTTGTAGTAGTCGATGGCAATGACCGTTTTGCACAGGACATTCCCGAACGGCCAAAAGCCCAGGAGGATGTCCGTGCCCTGGAAGGGCAGCGTCAGCAGGACCAGCGTGTCCGCCAGCGCCAGGTTAAAGATGTAAATGTTGGTCGCTGTCTTCATCTTTGTGTGTCTGTGGGGAGGGGCGAGGGGTCAGGGAGGCTTCGTTCCACGTCCTGCTGAACCTGACGGCAACGAGCACCTCCAGCTGCCCCAAGACCACACAGGGTCCTGGTCTAATGCAGACTCTGTGCTCAAGCTGAGGTGCCCAGGTTGGTCTTGGGATAAAGCTAGGCAGCCACCCTAATGAGCTCATGGACTCCTGGGCCACACGAAAGGCGGAGGCCCTTGAAGTCTGTTTTGGAGACACTGAGGCACACTGGACTCTGCTCTGTGGTGAAAGGGGAAGGACCCTGTCCTCTCCCTGTGGGGTCTCGCCCCAAGACCCCTCATTGTTAACAAGGTTGCCCCTAAAGCTGCCAGGGGGTTCTCAGAGCCCACAGAAGCCCATCACAGCACCTTGGGTCATGCCGAGACACAGACAGGAAGTGGTGCAGGGGCGGGGCTGGAGCAAAGCACCTGCAGCAGTGCTTGGAAAACTGCGATCCACATCACACTTATCTGTGAGTTCGACGGTGGTGGTGGTGGTGGTGGTGGTGGTGGTGGTGGTGGTGGTGGTGGTGGTGGCAGAGGAGTGGCAGGGTGACAGTGGAGGGCATTGGAGGTGCACGGGGAGGTGGTGGCTGCGGTGGTGGGGATGAGATGGGATGGGAGGAGAGGAGGTGATAGTGGAAGGCATGGGGTGGAGGGCATTTGATGGCAGTGGTCATCACAGTGTTAATGATGGGGGTGGCGGCAGTGATGGAGGTGGGAGGGGAGTGTTAGAGGTGATGATGGTGGGAGAGGTATGAATGGAAATGATGTTGGGAGGGGGAGGGGTGGAGTGGAGGTGATAGTGGGAGTGGGAGGGGGTGGTGATGATGACGGTGGGAGGGGAGGGCTGGAGTGGAGGTGACGTGAGCATGGAGGCAGCACTATCCCTGATAACTTCCTGTGTTCATTTAGCTGGCATAAGAGAGCCGTGGTTTCGTTCTACCTCTGAGAGAAGGATTAAAAATAAGCACAAAGAAATCTTGATTATGCTCAAGTACTCCCAGCAAAGACCATCGCAGACACCTCTACGTGGACCCCATGCGCCTTCAGACTTGTGAGGCCTGTGAGCGGTGGTCCCCTCTATGGAGGACAAACACTCTGGGGCTCTGAGTCGCTTTCAGAGCGAGTTGGCAGGATGCTTCTGAGTCTGGAGGCAGCTGGCCCAGACGCGCCAGCTCGCCAGCTCGGACACCATGTGCTGTTCCAGGGCCGTGTGGTCAGGGTGTTTCCGGAGCATGGTCTGGTGACCGTCCTTGGATCACAGCCCCACCCTCCCTGCCTGCTTGGACTCAGGGAGATGCTCACAGGACTTCCCAGCCCCACACAGCAAATGCAAACATGGGTGTGCGGCCGCCCTGTTCGCTGGCCCCAGCTCAGCATGCCTTCTAGGCACCTCTGGATGGGGTGGCCCAGATCTCCTGCCCATCCTTTGTCTAGCTGTGTATTACATGCACACACATGTGCATTCACATGCATACAACTCGCACACAGACACACATGCCTGCACTGCAGGCACACATGCATGTTGCGTGTACATGTGCACGGTGTGTGCATGCTCTATGTGCACTTTAATGAATATGGACTCGCATGCACACATGTGCCTTGCGTGTGTTTCTGTTGCATCTGTGCCATTGCACACACGTCCTCTGTGCACATGCATTTGTGCATGTGTGTATACATGCACACACATGCTTACACATGAAGCTCTCTGCTTCACCTTCCTCACTGTCCAAGTGGGGACAACCAGACCCAGAAGGAGTGGGACTTGGTCACTGTCACGTGGCGGGCAGAGCCTGGGCTCTCCCACTCCTGGCCCTGCCACTGGCCCGATCTGCTGCTCACCCTTGAAATAGGTGGAAAGGCCATGGCTCTGGACTCTGAGCACATCTTCTGGCTCTTGGCTTCCTGGGTCAGGTGCTCACATCCCTGGTCAGGGCTCCCTCATGTGGCGGCGCCAGCCTGCCCCCACCCTGGCACCCGTTCTCCTCTTCATGGCCTCCTGGTCAGAACCCTCCCTCCCTGACATCTTCACTCCTTGCAGTCTTCCCTCACCCACCCCACTCCCAGCACACCAGCCACCCACAGCGGGGCCACCTGTCGTGAGCCCTCAAACCCGGAGAGTGGGCCACAGATTGCCCAGCACCACAGACCCACGTGTCCGTCTGCCATCAGTGGGGAGTCCTGTGTGTGGGCCTGGTGCCTTTCACACGGATCCTGGCCCACCTCAGACACCTCGATGGTGAGGTCATTTGGGGAGAGTGGTCACTGTGGTGACTGAGCTACATACAGCTTCACCTTCCCCAAACAAGCAGGATGGGCCTGAGTCCTCTCCTCCCTCTGACAGGAGGGACAGTGTCCAGGGTCTCAGGACTGACTGCTCCCCTGGGAAGCAAGGAAGTCCCTGAACAGTCCTGCCTCAGTTTCGCCCTCTGCCGCCTGGGGGGAGGGGCAGCCTACCTGAGGATGACATACATGACGAGGCAGTTTCCCAGAAGCCCCCCCACGCAGACAGCCAGGTAGAGCCCCACGATGGAGCCCTTGAGACCGAGGGGCAGGAAGGTGCTGTGGCTGGTGTTGAGTAGCAGAGCCGGGGGCAGCAGGCTGTCATTGGCGCCCAGCAGTGAGAGGTTGCCCTGTAGGTGGCTGCCGTAGAAGACCTCCCAGAACGGAGCAGGAAAGAGGGACTCCATGACCTAGGAGGCATGGAGACGTGTGTGTCCGTACCTCACACGCATAGACCTGAGGCACGTGTGTGCGCATGCAGGGCCATGAGGGGGGTCATGACACACATGTGGGAGGGACACAGGAGACCTACAGATTCACATAGACCAGGGACAGACAGGCACATGGCATACACAGGGGCACAAGAACACATGAGAGAGTCACACAGACATGGGACAGACACATGGCACGGACACTGGGACACATGACAGATTCATATAGACAAGAAAGACATGGCACACATGCAAGGACATAGGCATAGACAGGTGACAGACACAGGAGACACATTCATAGGGACAGAGGGCAGACACCACATGACACACATGCAAGAACACAGGGACACAGGTGACATACATAGCCCTGTTCACACAGGAACGTAGTCTTATTGGTTTATAGACCCCCAAATGAGATGCATAGAAGTGGGTACACATCAAGACACGTGTCCACACCAGGGATACATGACCACACAGCTGCCCCCGTGCACACAGGTCCAGAGATATAGCAATATGTGTGTGTGCACAAATAAAGATGCTTACACTGAGCCACATGCACATGCAGACTCCCAAGGGCTGTGTGTCTGACCCCTCACATGCCCAGAAATGCTGGAGACTGGACACAAGGAGCCTCCTCCCACCCACCCCCACCCTCCAGCTCTGCCCTGCCAGAGCCACCTCCCCACCCCCCACCCCCTCAGCATACTCAGGTGCTCACCTTGGCGGGGTGGGGGTGGGTCAGCGCTGGGGTGGGGGTTTCAGGTTTCAAGCAGGCAGGGCAGCGACCTAGGGGCTGGAGGGCTGAGGGGCTGCAGGAGGCCCCTCCCCACGCGCTAAGTGGTTGGCTGCAGTGGTGGCAGCGGCGGCTGGATCTTCTCTGTAGACGCCAGAGTCAGACGCAGTCGCTGCTGAGCTGCCGCTTGGAGCAGGAAGGGGGAGGAGGGGAGGGGCCACGTGGGCTGGAGGGGGAGCGTACAGAGATGGGTCACCTCACCCCACACAGCAGACTGATGAAGGAATACAGAGAGACAGACAGATGGGGTCCCATAGACCCAGACAGACAGGCATGCCACTCAGCACACGCACACACAGACAGGCTCAGCACACAGACACATGGAACATGGAAACAGGCTCAGACACAAGGACACTGGACAGACACATGGACATGCTGACAGACACGCGGACAGGTTCCAATCCACAGACACTGCCAGAGCCAGGTGCAGGGTAGACAGTCAGTCCCAGCGGGGAAGGGTGGTGGGTGCTCTCATGTCACCTCAAGAGACTGCCCGGGGTTCCAGAGCACAGCCACCCCTTGCCCAGCTTCCCCACACCTCCTGCCAGTGCCTGAGCCCTGCCCGAGCCCAGCCTTTGAAACCTCAGTGGCTCAGCCCAGGGCACAGCCAGACCTTGTACTCCCTGGGGCAGGCCCCTCTCCAGCACGGGCACCTGGGGGTGGGTGGGGGTGCAGAGGTGGGTTTGGCTCATCTGCCAGGGTGCGCACATGCAGCTGACTCAGATGGACACCAGGGGCCAAGGCCACACACTGACCCCTGACCTGAGTCACTGACACCACCCTGTCACAGGACTGCTCCCCCTGTGGCTTTGAAGGGACTCAACACAGAGCATCCTCCCTCCTCAAGGATGGGGACCTGGTTGCTAGGAGACAAGCAGCCCTGTCGCTAGGATACCTGGACGTGGCAATTCAGACGCCCAGGACTTGGCGTCCCACACTGTCCCCTAGGATTCATGTCTGTGTCTTTGCTGTGTCCAAGGTGCAGGACACGTGTGGAGACACGTGCCATGGCCACAGACATGTGTGTGGGTCACTCGGGGACATACCAAAGTCAGGTGGGGACACACAGGCCCACATTGAACAGAGACATGGTGCACACTCAGGGGCCAGAACATGCAGGACACACACCAAAAGCACCTAGCGTGCTTGAGACACATGTGGTCTCCAGGGACACACCAGCACACACAGGCCCGCAGCCCCCACAGCTTACCCCAGGCCCCAGCTGTCCCTGGACCCACAGCTGTCCCAAGGCCCCAGCTGTCCCTGGGCCCACAGCCC